AAAAAAAAAAAAAAAAAAAAAAAAAAACCTGCCTCTATAAGAAAACTTTTAGGCCAGGTACAGTGGCTCATGCCTGTAATCCCAGCACTTTGGGAGGCCAAGTCAGGCGGATCACCTGAGGTCAGGAGTTTGAGACCAGCCTGGTCAACATGGTGAAACCCCGTCTCTATTAAAAATACAAAATTAGCTGGGTATGGTGGTGGATGCCTGTAATCCCAGCTACTCAGGAGGCTGAGGCAGGAGAATCGCTTGAACCTGGGAGGCAGAGGTTGCAGTGAGCTGAGATCGCGCAATTGCACGCCAGCCTGAGCAACAAGAGTGAAACTCTGTCTCAAAAAAAAGAAAAAAAAGAAAAATTTAAAAAATTAGCCAGGTATGGCCTGTAATCCCAGCACTTTGGGAGGCCGAGGCGGGTGGATCACGAGGTCAAGAGATCGAGACCATCCTGGTCAACATGGTGAAACCCCGTCTCTACTAAAAATACAAAAAATTAGCTGGGCATGGTGGTGCGTGCCTGTAATCCCAGCTACTCAGGAGGCTGAGGCAGGAGAATTGCCTGAACCCAGGAGGCGGAGGTTGCAGTGAGCTGAGATCGCACCATTGCACTCCAGCCTGGGTAACATGAGTGAAACTCCGTCTCAAAAAAAAAAAAAAAAATTAGCCAGGTATGGTGGCACATAACTGTCATCCCAGCTAGGCAGGAAGATGGCTTATGCTATGAGTTCAAGGCTGCCGTGAGCCATAATCATACCAGTGCACTACAGCCTGGGAGACAGAGCAAGGCTCTTGTCTCCTAAAAGAGGAGGTGGCGGCGGGGAGGCAGCATGATAGTTTTGGGATAAAACTGGATACTGTACAGAGGCATCCCTCAAAGATTCCAGGTGTTTCCTATAGGACCACCACAGGCATCTCCAGCTGCCTCCTCCTCCCCTTCTCTGGCAGAGCCTCTGAGTCTACTCAGTCAACAGAATTTGTGACCCATGTGCCATTTTTTTTTTTTTTTTTTTTTAGATGGAGTCACGCTCTGTCACCAAGGCTGGAATGCAGTGGTGCAATCTTGGCTCACTGCAACCTCTGCCTCCCAGGTTCAAGCAGTTCCCCTGCCTCAGCCTCCCAAGGAGCTGGGATTACAGGCACCCACCACCACGCCCAGCTAATTTTTTGTATTTTTAGTAGAGACGAGGTTCCACCATGTTGTTCAGGCTGGTCTCGAATTTCTGACCTCAAGTGATTCACCCGCCTCAACCTCCCAAAGTTCTGGGATTACAGGTGTGGGCCACCGCACCCGGCCCCATGTGATATTTCTTACTCAGTCATGTTGCTTCCCATTCTATTTGCTTAGTAATTGCAAATAATTGCTCTGCACCCTTTCCAGCCGCCTTATTGGTTAGCCCGCTCAGGGCCACTCTCTGGCTGCCTCTTTTGACCTTGACTCAGGAATGCAGCCACCTCTTCTGACCTCTTCTTGACTCGTGCGAGAGCGATGGCTCCTCACGGCCCACCCGGAGAGGAGCGAGTGGCACGTTTTTCTAGAGGACCCAGACAGCCTTATGCTATGTCCAGGGTTACCTCCACTGCAGAGACAACAGTGTATGCTCAATACTCAGGGTGGGCCAAGAATGGGTGGCAAGGCGCCCAGAAAAAGATAAAGGCAAAATGGCTTCTCAAAGGAACTAGAATCCTGACAGTTTTTCTTTCTCAAACACAGATTTCTGAACCCACACCGTTTGTGGGTATGCCGTGCAGACGCTGCTGGGGCTCCCTGACAACGGCTGGGTTCCAGTTCATTCTGAGGCCCTTGGGCCCTGGGGTGGGAGACCAAAACCCCAGGGGACCCCTGGACACGTCCCCTCTGAACACAGCCCTCCCAGTCTCACAAGGCTGGAAACAAACGTGGCCCTCAGGAAAGTGGGAGCCCATCGACTCCCTGGCTGAAAAGGCTTCAAAAGCAGCATCTGGACACCCTGGGTTCCAATGTCAACAATGAAAATGTCAGCAGTCAGATAACTGGAAGCCAGCTCCACGCCACCCTCCATCCCCACAACACCCCAATCCTGTGCACCCAGCTCAATCACCCATTTACAGCATTTTACATATTACCAACAGACTCGCCCCCAGGAAGCAGGGGTCACCATCCCGGCACCTGGCTGTCTCCCTCAGCACCGCATCAGGCCTCGGTGGGACCAGCACTGATGTGTGTGTGTCTGTGTGAGTGTAGGGCACAGGTCCATCCTTCAGGCCTGGAACTGTGCATTTGGGCATGCCCAGGTAGGCCTGGGCCTGGGTGCCTGTGCTCACAGTGAAGCATGATCCACACCACAGAAAGATAAAGCCTAGGGTGGCAGACCACCTGGGGCGAAACCTGGCTCCACCTCAACCACCTGTGTGACCAGGGCAGGTCCCTTAGCCTCCCTGAGCCTTGGTTTCCTCCATTCTAAAATGGGGGCCAGGTAAAGTGGTTCATGCCTCTAATACCAGAACTTTGGAAGGCCAAGGCAAGAGGATCACTTGAAATCGGGAATTTGAGGCTGCAGTGAGTTAAGATCATGCCACTACACTCCAGGCTGGGTGACAAAGAGAGACCCTGTCTTTAAAAAAAAAGGAAAAGGGCTGGGTGTGGTGGCTCACACCTGTAATCCCAGCACTTTGGAAGCTGAGGCGGGTGGATCACTTGAGGTCAGGAGTTTGAGACCAGCCGGGCCAACATGGTGAAACCCCATCTCTACTAAAAAAAATACAAAAATCAGCGGGTGTGGTAGCACACACCTATAATCTCAGCTACTCGAGAGGCTGAGGCACAAGAATCGCTTGAACCTGGAAGGCAGAGGTTGCAGTGAGCTGAGACTGTGCCACTGTACTTCAGCCTGGGTGACAAAGTGAGACTCCGTCTCAAAATATTTTTAAAAAGGAAAGAAAAAAACATTGTAAATAAATAATAAAATGGGAAGAACAACAGGAGCTACCTCACAGGACAGTTTTGAGGAAGGACTAAGGTAACACAGCAAATTCAGGGAACTGGCCGCTGTTTTTTTCTTTTTTTTTTAGAGATGCAGTCATACTCTGTCACCCAGGGGTGACAAGATCTCAGCTCACTGCAACCTCCGCTTTCCAGGTTCAAATAATTGTCTTGCCTCAACCCCCTGAGGAGCTGAAATTACACCAAGTAAAAGTAGCCACACCTGGCTACTTTTCATATTTTTAGTAGAGACAGGGTTTCACCATGTTGGCCATGCTGGTCTCGAACTCCTGACCTCAAGTGATCCAACTGCCTCAGCCTCCCAAAGTGCTGGGATTACAGGTGTGAGCCACCATGCCTGGCTTTTTTTTTTTTTTTTAAAGACAGAGTCTTACTGTCCTCTAGACTGAAGTGCGGTAGTGTGCTCATAACTCACTGTTGCCTCCCACTCCTGGGCTCAAGCAATCCTCCCACCTAACTCCCAAGTAGCGGGGACTACAGGCACATACCACAAGGTCTGGCTAATGTTTTTTAATTTTCTGTGGAGTCAGGGTTTCACAATGCTGCCCAGGCTGGTGTTAAACTCCTGGGCTCAAGTGATCCTCTGGCCTCAGCCTCCCAAAGTGCCATGATTACAGGCATAAACTGCCATGCCCGGCCTAACAGCTACTTTTTGTTGCTGTTATAATGGCAATTGGCAAAGACAGTGTTTGTGCCTTTTGGGGGACTGTTTCTGAGCACGAATGAGACTGTATGTGTGATCAGTGTGGTCATGTCTCAATGCATGTACGTGTGTGTGTGTGTGTGTGTGTGTGTGTGTGTGTGAATGTGAGACACCAGGGCCCACGACCTATTATGCTTGAAAAAGGTGCTGACGTGGAACCGGCACCCCTGGAGGTGACAGTTCTCTCTGCTGTGTCTGCCCAAGGAGGCAGGGCTGCAGCTGAGATCCTCACCGCCTCCTTGGCGCCACCTGGTGGCACTGGCTTTACGCGGTTCAAATGCCTTCTGTCCTGGAGGGGTCCGGGAACGTATCTACAGTGCGTGACCCGTCAGAGACTGCATTGAATCTCTGGGCTTGCCCGGCCTTTGGAAGTCAGGGGAGTCTGGACGTTATTCTACACCAGCGCTGTCCGGTGGAACTTTCCATGATGATGAAAAGGTTCTGTATCTGTGTTGTTGCCTATGGTAGCCACCAGCCATGTGTGGCTACTGAGCCCTTGAAATGTGGCTAGTGCAATCGAAAAGCTGCATTTTTCATTGTGCTTAGTTAATTTAAGTTTAAAACGCGACACTTGGCCGGGCACAGTGGCTCACACCTGTAATCCCAGCATTTTGGGAGGCCGAGGTGGATGGATCACTTGAGACCAGGCGTTTGAAACCAGCCTGGGCAATGCGGCAAAACCCCACCTCTACGAAAAAGAAAGAAAGAAAGAAAGAAAAAATTAGCCAGGCATGGTGGCAGATGCCTGTAGTCTCAGCTACTTGGGAGGCTGAAGTGGGAGGATTGTTTGAGCCTAGGAGGTGGAGGCTGCAGTGAACTGTAGCTCGCCACTGCATTCCAGCCTGGGTAATAGAGCAAGACTCTGCCTCACAAAAAAAAAAAAAAAGGAAAGAAACATCAGAATGATAACATTTTCAGTGGTGGGTCATATTTTTATTTTTTAATTTCAATATTTGTACATATTCTCTAAATGTCCTACAGTGAGCACGTACTATTTTTGTAATCAGGAAAAGTGGTTTTTTTTGTTTGTTTGTTTGTTTGTTTTTTTTTTGAGACAGAGTCTCATTTTGTCGCCAGGCGCCAGGCTGGAGTGCAGTGGCACAATCTTGGCTCGCTGCAACCTCCGCCTCCTGGGTTCAAGCAACTCTTCTGCCTCAGCATCCCAAGTAGCTGGGACTACAGGCACATGCCACCATGCCCAGCTAATTTTTGTATTTTAGTAGAGATGGGGTTTCACCATGTTGGCCAGGATGGTCTTGATCTCTTGACCTCGTGATCTACCCACCTCAGCCTCCCAAAGTGCTGGGATTACAGGTGTGAGCCACTGCGCCCGGCTGAAAAGTGCTATTTTTAAAGAGGGAAAAAAGAGCGTAGTAATATATGGAAATGCTTGTGATCCATTGCAGAAAAAGAGAGAAGAGAAGCACATCCCTGGGCCTGTGGAGAGGGATTCAAGGGGGGGCTCAGACAAGATGATCTGATGGTTGGGCCATGAGGGTTTCCATGAGCTTATTCAGAGCCCCATTAATGTCTGTATAATAAAGAATAAAATAAAATAAAATGTGCTTCTAACCGGGTGTGGTGGCTCACGCCTGTAATCCTAGCACTTCGGGAGGCCAAGGCCAGTGGATCACCTGAGGTCAGGAGTTGGAGACTAGCCCGGCCAACACGGTGAAACCCTGTCTCTGCTAGAAATACAAAAATTAAGCCAGGCGTGGTGGTTCACGCCTATAATCCCAGCACTTTGGGAGGCTGAGGTGGGCAGATCACGAGGTCAAGAGATCGACACCATCCTGGCCAACATGGTGAAACCCCATCTCTATTAAAAATACAAAAATTAGCTGGGCATGGTGGTATGTGCCTGTAGTCCCAGCTACTTGGGAAGCTGAGACAGGAGAATTACTTGAACCTGGAGGCAGAGGTTGCAGTGAGCCAAGATCGTGCCATTGTATTTCAGCCTAGGTGACAAAGTGAGACTCTGTCTCAAAAAAGAAAAGAAAAAATTAGCCAGGCATGGTGGTGCACGCCTGTAATTTCAGCCACTCAGGAGGCTGAAGAAGGACAATCTCTTGAACCAGGGAGGTGGAGGTGGCAGTGGGCCAGGATCACGGTACTGCACTCCAGCCTGGGTGATAGAGCAAGACTCCGTCTCAAAAAAAAAAAAAAAAAAATGTGGGCTGAGGCAGGGCGCAATGGCTCATGCCTATAATCCCAAAACTTTGGGAGGCCAAGGCAAGGCAAGTGGATCACTTGAGGTCAGGAGTTCGAGACCAGCCTGCCCAACATGGTGAAACCCCGTCTCTACTAAAAATACGAAAAGTAGCCAGGCGTGGTGGTGCACACCTGTAATTTCAGCTACTCAGGAGACTGAGGCAGGAGAATCACTTGAACCTGGGAGGTGGAGATTGCAGTGAACCAAGATCGTGCCATTGCATTTCAGCCTGGGCCACAGAGCAAGGCTCCATCTCAAACATAAATTAATTAAAATTCGGGCTGAGAGAAAACCCCAAATTCCTGATAATGGTAGCCCCGATGGATGGAAGAAATAGAGGAATGGAGGCAAGAAGAAATGATGACAGGGACTTAACTTTACGTGTGTGTTTTATTTAAATTTTTTAAAAGCTTAAAAAATTAAACATAGAGGCCAGGCACAGTAATCCTAGTACTTTGTGGGGCCGAGGTGGGTGGATCATCTGAGGTTAGGAGTTCGAGACCAGCCTGGCCAACACAGTGAAACCTCATCTCTACTAAAAATACAAAAATTAACTAGTTGGATGTGGTGCAGGTGCCTGTGATTCCAGCTACTTGGGAGGCTGAGGCAGGAGAATCGCTTGAACCCGGGGGTGGAGGTTGCAGTGAGCCGAGATTGCACCACTGCACTCCAGCCTGGGCAAAAGAGTAAAACTCTGCTCAAAAAAAAAAAAAAAAAAAAGAATTAAATATAGAATTGCCACATGATCCAGGAATTCCACTCCTAAACATACACCCAAATGAACTGAAAACAGAGACCCAGATATTTATACACCTATGTTCACTGCAGCATTATTCCCAACAGCAAAAAAAACTGGAAGCAACTCAAATGTCCATCAGTGAATACACGGATAAACAAAATATGATACAAACATACAATGGCTATTATTCAGTCTCAAAAAGGAAGGGAATTCTAAGCTGGGCACAGTGGCTCATGCCTGTAATCCCAGCACTTTGGGAGGCCAAGACGGGTGAATCAGTTGAGGCCAGGAGTTGGAAACCAGCCTGGTCAACATGGCGAAACCCCTATCTGTCTCTACTAAAAATACAAAAATTAGCCATGTGTGGTGGTGCACACCTGTAAATCCAGCTACATGGGAAACTGAGGCACGAGAATCACTTGAGCCTGGGAGGTGGAAGCTGCAGTGAGCCAAGATCACACCACTGCACTCCAGCCTGGCGACAGAGCAAGACCCCGTCTCAAAAAAAAAGGAAATTTTGACACATGATACAACATGGATGTACCATGCTACAACCTTGAAGACATTATGGGAAGTGAAATAAGCCAGACACAAAAGGAGAAATAGTGTATGATTTCACTGCTACACAGTTCACAAAGCAGCCAAATTCATAGAAACAGAAAGTGAATGGGGCTGCCAGGGGCTGAGGAGATGGGAAAAGACAGTTATTACTTAATGTATACAAATTTCAGTTTGGGATGATGAAAAAGTTCTAGAAGTAATGGTGATCGCTGCACAGCATTGTAAATGTAATTAATGCCACCAAATGGTACACTTAAAAATGGCTGAAATGGTAAGTTTCATAATATATATGTATGTATGTGTGTGTGTGTGTGTGTATATATATATACACATACACACACACACACACACACACACACATATGTTTTTTGTTTTTGAGACAGAGTCTTTGTCTGTTGCCCAGGCTAGAGTGCAGTGGCGTGATCTCAGCTCACTGCAACCTCCGCCTCCCGGATTCAAGCAGTTCTCCTGCCTCAGCCTCCCAAGTAGCTGAGACGACTACAGCTGGCTAACTTTTGTATTTTTATGGAAATGGAGTTTCACTATGTTGGCTGGGCTGGTCTTGAACTACTGACCTTGTGAACTGCCACCATCAGCCTCCCAAAGTGCTGGGATTACAGGTGTGAGCCACCTTACCCAGCGTACATTATGTATATTTTAACACAATTTTTTTAAAAGGCTTCGATGCAATCCCAGCACTTTGGGAGACTGAGGCGGGTGGATCACCTAAAGTCAGAGTTGGAGACCAGCCTGGACAACATGGTGAAACCCCATCTTTAATAAAAATACAAAAATTAGCTGGGTGTGGTGGCACATGTCTATAATCCCAGCTACTCAGGAAGCTGGGGCAGGAGAGTCACTTGAACCTGGAAAGCGGAGGTTGCAATGAGCCGAGATCACTCCAGCCTGAGTGACAAGAGTGAAACTCCATCTCAAAAAAAATAAAAATAAAAGGGTTTGATGAAAATGAGACAAAATGTTAACTAGAGTCAATTCTGGGTCATGAGTACCCAGAGGTTTGCCATGTCATTATCCTAAGGGAAAAAAAAGG